CAAAACACGCGCGGTATCGCTGTCGGTCGTCACGAGGAGTTCCGACGGGAATGACATGGGGGCTCCCCTGCGTGTCTCGAGTCTGCTGCTGCAGGGCGAGGGCTCTCCCAGCGAGCTCCCGCCCCTCCCCCCCGGCAGGGGTACATCTACGCAGATCCCGTGCGGGCCCCCGCAGCCGAGCCCTCCAGCCTCGCCTGCGCTCCCTGCGGACCCAGGGATCTGACGTCGTGTTTTTTGTTTCAGGACGGGGTCCCCGGAAGTCTCGACCCATCCCCCGAGACCAGCTCTTTTCATCCCGAGCCGTTGGTTGACGGTCCTGGAGCCCGGCGGGGGGTCCGCCAGAGGCCGGACATCGAGACACGCCTCCGTCTTGATTTTCTCAACCCGTCGCTTGGCATCGCTCGGGCGTGTGCATCTCTTCTCGGCGGGAACCACCGAGGGCCCTCCTGGACCATCGAGCAAAAGCAAAACAAAAAAAAAGAAGCACGCACGACACCGGCACACGCACGGGAAAGGGGCGCCCGAGCGACGCGTCGAGCCTCTGCGGGCAGCCCCCCCCTCCCCCGCCTCCTGCTCCCCCCCCCCGCCCCCTGCTGCACTGCGGCCTCCGTGGCCCCCCCCGCGCCTGCCGCGGGCCCCGCGCCGGAGAGGCCCCAGGCCGGCTCGCTCCTGCCAGGGAGGCTCAAGCCGGGAGACTCTCCATGGGGGGGGGGGATCCCATGGGGGGGCAGGAGGGGATCCCCCCCATGGGATCCCCTCCTGCCCCCCCATCGGATCCCCAGGGGATCCTATGGGATCCCCCCCCCTGGGATCCCATCCCCCCATGGGATCCCCCCCCATGAAGAGTCCCCCGGTCAAGCCGGGCCTGTCCCCCCTGCCGGGAGCTTCGTCGACAGGAATAAAAAAAACATGCCCCAAAAGGTTCAAAAATAGTCTTGGGGGACTATGTGTTTGGCGTCTTTTTGTTAACCTTCTGGGGGCACTGTTGGGGGTATTTCTTCTTATTTCTCGTCGAAGGTCCCCCTGCAGGGGGACACGCCCGACATGAAGGGAGGCCCTCGCCCCTTTGTTCAGGCCCCCGTGGGCGGCTCCCCCCAGCGAGAAAGGGGCGCTGGTGACGATTTGTCCAGCCCCTGGGCATTACTACTTGCGCAAGCGAGCGCAGCCACTGGGCCTTCCGGTGGAGCTCCCTACAGGGCCACGAAACATGTGAGGGGTGTTTCGAAATGAGCGGCGCAAAAGACGGGGTCGTTTGCGCGTCGATTATTGACACCATTTGGATCGTTCAGCCGTGAGCGATCGCGCATTCCCGTTCAGCACCGGCCGATTCTTGACCATCGGCCCCGTGCATTCCGAACGCCAGCGCCGGTATCGCCGCCGCGTCGACACGACGTAAACCTACCGCTATTGGGGAACAGTTGTTCTTTGGGGGTCGTTTTCTCTACTCCGGGATATGTTTCTCAGACCCTTCGGGTTACAGCGGCTCATGGAGGCCGACGCCGAGCCTCCGAAAATGGCAGTAGTTCCAAGAAGTTTGGCGGCTCCCAGCGGCTCCCAATAGCATAAACCAAGTGTATGAACCATTGAAGCCCCCGAAGAGTGAGGTGTTGAACTCCGACGGTTGAGGTTTTGCGATGTAAGCTGTATGATGTGAGCTACGTTGTGGCAACCATGCGGTATGAGCTACGCAGTGAAAGTTTTTCAGTGTTGGCTATTTGATGGTAGCGATTTTGTTCAAACAATATGAGGCGGGCGATGTGGTGGTATCTACAGGATGCAAGTTAGATGATGAAGAAGGACAGGTGGTCTGAGCAGTATGTTTGGAACAACGTTGTGGAACTTATGCGAAGAGAAAAGCCGTTGTAAGCTATAGGGCGTGGGGTTCACGGGCGGGCACGTGACGAAACTTCGGCCGACCCATTCAAGTTCTGAACACCGAAGCAAGGAACCCTAGTGCAAGCACTGACTGGGGAGCCTACTGAAACCCTAGTGCAAAGCAGTGGGGGGCAACGCCTTATCGTTCCTTACCGTTCCCCTCGTTCATCCTAGCTCTCGCCTGGCTTTGCGGACCATTCGCAGTCTGCCGCAAGTCTTTTTGTGGAGGTTCCTCTTTGGATACCCTCTAAGGGGCCTCATGAATGCCCCTTGAGGGTTTCGTGGATCCTTGGAGGCCTCCTGGGCGCCTCTCTGGGCCGTCTTGGGGGTCCTTTCGGAACTCGTTTAGGCCGTCTTCAGTACCTTTTGAGCCGTGGTGGGGCCTTTGGGGGGAATTTGAGTCTTCGAGGGACTTCCTGTGGCCATCGTGGGCCTTCTTGGGGGCCTCCCATGGCCTTCGTGGGTCTCTCCTGGGAGCCTTCGACGGCCTCGTGAGCTTCTTTTGGGCCGTCTTGGGGCAGTCTTGGGGCCGTCGTGGGCTGTCTTGAAGCCTCTTGGGGGCCTCCCAGGCCGTCTCGGGGCGATCTCGGAGGTCTCTTGGGCTCGCGTGAGTGCTGCTACGACACAAAAAGCGAACATGTTGAAAATACACCCTTTGCCTCCTGAAGGCCTGTTGAGGCGTCTTGGGGACCTCTCGGGTCGTCGTGCGGGCCTCTTGGGCCGTCTTGAAGCCGTCTTGCGCTGTCTTGGGGCTCTCCTGCGCCTCTTCGACCACTTTGCTGGGCAAGGTCCAGGAAGGCGCCCTGGGAGGCGCGGCGGGGCTGGGGGACCTCCTCCAAGGACGTCCAGGGGCCCCCCAAGTCCTGTATCCTGGGGGTCCGATTGTGGGGGGGGGACCGGTTTCCCGCCCCCCAGGCTTGCAAAAATGTAGGAATAGGAATATGTTTGGCTTCTTGAGTCCCTCTTGGGAGTGCCGTGAGGCAGTTTGTTGGGTCTGCAGCGCCATCTTCAGATCGTCGTGGGCTGGCTTGAAGTGTTCCCAAGTCCGTCTTTCAAGTGTTTTCGGGCCCCGATCGTTGATTCGAGCTTCGCGCGGCCCGCTTAGCTTCGACCGGAAGAGGTGCGTTCTCGACCCGCGAATCAAAAAAGTGCTTTCGGGCCCCCGTGCGCATCACGACCGGCGTGCTGACCGCATTTGGCCCTGTGGAAGCCTGGGCACGCGGAGGCTCTGGGCTTTTAGTTGGGAGGCAACCGTCGGCGTCCGAGGGGCGCCATGGCCGTGGTGCGCTCACGATCTTCAGATGGGAGAAGGAATATCAGATCGTGAATTACCTACCCCGCTTTCGCTTCCAGGCAACACCAGGTCATACCGCGCGCCTCCTCGTCAAGCGGCCTGACCAGCACAGGCCGCAGTTTGGCATCGCTTGGCATCTCTTGGAAGCGGGGGTGGTCAGGAGCGAGGTCGGTTTGTTCTGGCCCCCTAGAATACCGCGTGCGTCTGCGTGTGTGCATCCCTCCTCCTTCGTTCAGAAGGGGAAAAAGCACACAGACACAATTAATCGTCCACTGCCAGGAACATATGGGAAAATATGGGGAAGTGGGGGGGAGGACAAACATTGAAAAATAGATGGGAAAAGATGGGGAATCATTTTCTTCGTGTGTATCTATTTGTGTGTCCTGGGGCCCCCTCCTTCGTGCCCGCCTGCCCGAGCTCTGCGCCCGCATCGAACGCACACGGCCGTCGGGCCCCTGCAGGCCGCGGGAGGCCGCGCGCGCGCCTGGCGCTCTCGGCAGCCCCGAGCGCGGACCAAAAAAAAGGCGCGGTGGCTCGCGGGCGCCCTGCGCCCCGCCCCTGCGCTCTCGCTCCCTCTCCAGACGGCTGCGCTCCAAGATGCTGCGCTGCCACTGGAGGGGGGGGGGGGAGGGGGGGGGAGGAGGAAGAAGGAGGAGGAGGAGGCAGGAGGAGGAGGAGGAGGAGGAGGAGGAGGAGGAGGAGGAGGTCGCGTCTCAGGATGAGCACATCGACTGCGCAGTATAAAAGGAAACGATGACAGATGGGCGTTCGTGGTAGGGGGATCTGGGCCTGCGCGGGAGCCCGCCTGCAGAGCGTGAGGTTGTGCTCCGCCAGGATCCGCGCTCGCGCTTTCGGGGGGCCCAGTGGCGACGAGAAAACGACGGCTAAGGCGACTGCCTCGACGACCACCACCGCCATGTCGGCGGCGGGGTGCCCCGGCGAGCCTCGGACGCCTCTCGCGGCAGAGGTGGGGCGCATGGTTCGGTCCAGGGCGCGTCTCGCGCTCTCTCCCCTCCCCTCCCCTCCCCTCCTTTCGGCGGCGAGCGAAGGGGGGAGATGAGAAGGAGGAGGCCTTCTCAGAAGGCGGCGGGACTTCCCAGAAGCCCTCGCGCCTTCTGAGAAGTTGTCTGGTGCCTTCGGGGAAGGCTAAGAACACTTCTCGGAAGGCCGGGGACCTCCGAGCCTTCCGAGAAGGCCCGCCCCTTCTCCCTTCCCCCCAGGCTCTCCACCCCCTTGGCATCGCTCGGACGTGTGCATGTTTCCTTCGGCGAGGACCATCGAGGAGCATCCTCGATCGTTTGGCACAAATACCACGCGCGAGACCGAAAAGAGCACGGGGAGTGGACGTCCGAGCGATGGCGAGCCCCTCCCTGCGGGGGCGGACGCTCGGGCGTGGGAGAAGGCGCTTCCGGCAGCTGCTGCGTGCAGTCGTGCCCGGACCGACCGCCGGGCACCGTCCTCGATCCATGGGCACGGCCGACTCCTGCGCAAGGGGGCGCACGAAAAACCATCTGCGTGCCGGTGATCTGCGAACCGCTGGCCCCCTCTGCTCGTGCCCTGGCTTCCGCCGCGATCCCCCCCCTCCTCCTCCTCCTCCCCCCTCCTCCTCCTCCTCCTCCTCCTCCTCCTCCTCCTCCTCCTCCTCCTCCTCCTCTTACCTCCTCCTCCCCGTCCCCCTCTCCCGCCCTGCACCCATGGGGCAGAGGCGGGCGCCGCCGCCGAGACACGGGCCGCTTGCCTCGCCGCATGCCCAGGGTAAGCAAAAGCTGTCGAGCGCTGGCCAATGGAGGCGGGGAGGGGGCTCCTCCACCCCGCGGCCCTGCGCGGCGAGGTGGGGTTCATCCTGGCCGGCGTCGCGATGGTGGCCGCCTCCGTGTACGCGCTGAGCCGGCCCCTGTTCCACCGCGGGTGACGGCGTCCCGCGCCCCTCCAGGGCGGCGCGCGGCCCCCGCCTGTGCCGGCGCGGCGTGAGCGGTCGAGGCAGTCTCCATCGGACGGGGCCCCCTGCCCGACGGCGCGGCGTGAGCGCGGGCGGCTCGGGAGGGCTGGAGCGGCGCAGGCACGGGCAAAACGCTCCCCTCGGCGCACATTCTCGGGCGGCGCCGAAGGACCCTTCCTTGGCGGACCTAAGATTGGCGAGCCATGTGCCTGCTCAAAGGGTTACACGACATCCGTAAGAAACAGGTCGTTGGGGAGCAGACCCCCCGCGGTTGACCCGGCTTCGCCAGATAGGTGGTTGCGCAAAGTTTGCGATGTTCGCAAATTACTTTGACGATGTACGCAACCCTTGCGCAACGCGTGGCCAGATAGGCTGGGTAGCACATATAGTGGGTGAGAGCGTGGCAATGAGTATGTGGTTTCCTGCGAACGTTACTTGGGAGGCTCGCGAGCTGCACGACTCGCAGGACACCGAACGATGGACGAAGGCTTGATGGAGATGAGTAGTTAATCCCCGGGCTCGAGGGAGCGAGGGGCGAAAGCTACGAGGAGAAGGCGCACGGGGATCTTGAACAAACATCGGGGCAGCAGCAAGAGGACGTAGCAACAGGAAGGAAGGAAGTGACGAGGCAGAATAAGGATACGTATGATGTTTCGAGGCAGGTCACCAATCAGTTATAGTCAATGCAAGAATTGCGCGTTGCCGAACTGCTGTGCCAGCTGCTGGGCTTCCCCCCTTCATTTTTCAATGCGGGATGAAAGGCGCGCGGGCGCGCCGCGAGGTCTAATCTGAGTCCGAGTACACCGAGTCTGCGTGGCCCCCCTCAGCAGCCTTCGAAAGTGGCGACAGTTTCACAGATCGCACCCCCCCCCGGATGGTGAGGTCGAGTCCGAGTCCGCGTATGGCGTCACTGCACTGGCGCCCCGGGCAGCCCTCGAAAGTGGCGACAGTTTCGCAGATCACCCCCCTAGGATGACGGGGTCGAACATGAGTCCGCGTATGGCGCCTTTTCGCAGCCCTCGCAAATGGGGGCAGTCGCTGAGCTGGCGCCCCCCTGGCAGCCATCGAAAGCGACGACATGTTCGCAGATCACACCCCCCTGGGCGAGGTTTAATATTTGTCCGCGTGCGGCGGCACTGCGTTGGTCCCCCCAGCAACCCTTGAATGTGGTGCCTTCTTTCGGAGATCACAGTGCCCCAAAGATGACGAGGTCTGATCTGGGTCCGCGCATGGTGTCGTTGCTGGCCCCCCCAGCAGCCCTCGGAAGTGCAGCCGGACGGCGAGGTCGAACCTGATTGCGCGTACGGCGACGTTGTGTTGCCCCCCCAGCCAAAAGCAACGGCAATCTCGCAGATCGCACCCCCCCAGGGACGGCGCGGTTGAATCTGAGTCCGCGTATGGCGTCAGTGCGCTGGCGCCCCCAGCAACCCCCGAAAAGACTGTGAGCTGCGCAGATCACAACCCCAATGGGTTGCGATGTATACTCTGAGTCTGCGTACGACGTTCCTATGCAGCCCTCGAAAGTGGGGACGGTCGCTATCCTGCCGCCCCCCCCAGCAGCCTTCGAATGTGGCGACAGGTTCGCAGATCCCCCCCCCCAGGGATGGCGAAGTCTAATCATTTTCTGTGTTCGGCGACACTGCGTTGGTCTCCTCAGCAGCATCGAATGCGGTGCGTCTTTCCCCAGATCGCAACCCCCCAGGGATGGAGAGGCCTGGTTTGGGTCCGCACATAATTCGCGTCGTTGAGCTGCCCCCCCCCCCAGAAGCCTTCGGAAGTGGCGACAGCTTCGCAGATCACAACCCCCCAGGGATGGCGAGGTCGAACTTGGGTCCGCGTGTGGCGTCATTGCGCTGGCATCCCAAGCAGCCATCGAAAGGCACGACAGTTTCGCTGACCACAACCCCCAGGGATGGCGAGGTCGAGCATGGGTCCGCGTATGGCGACACTGCGTTGGCCCGCCCAGCAACCATCGAAAATAGCAACGGCTTTGCAGATCACAGCTCGCGGGGACGGCGAGGTCGAGTCTGAGTCCGCGTATGGCGTCACTGTGCTGGCGCCCCCAACAGCCCTCGAAACTGGTGACAGTTTCGCAGACCACAGCCCGCCAAGGGACGCCGAGGTCGAATCTGAGTCCGCGTATGGCGTCGCTGTGCAGCCCTCGACAGTGAGGACAGTCGCTGTGCTGCCCCCCCCCCGCAGCCCTCGAAAGCGGCCACAGTTTCGCAGATCACAACACCCCAGGCATGGCGAGGTATAAATGATTCCGCGTATGGCGTCACTGCGCTGCCCCCAGCCTCAGCAGCCCTCGAAAGTGGCGACAGTTGCGCATATCACAACCCCCAGGGATGGCGAGGTGTAGTCTGAGCCCGCTTATGGCGTCATTATGTTGGCCCCCCCAGCAGCCGTCGGAAGTGGCGACGGTTTCGCAGATCACAACCCCCCAGGGATGGCGAGGTCGAGCCTAGCCCCCAGCAGCCGCCGAAAGTGGCGACGGATTCGCAGATCGCAACAGCCCAGGGATGGCAAGGTCGAGTCTGCGTCTGCGTGTGGTGGCATGGTGCCCGTCCCACGAGCCGCCACTGGAAAGTGGCGACGGTCTCGCAGGTCGCAGCCCCCAAAACGGCTGGCGAGGCCTATCCTGGGTCCGCGTGTGGCGTCACGGTGCTGGCGCCCCCAGGCAGCCGACGAAAGTGGCGATCGCTTCGCAGATCGCAGCCCCCCCCAGGGACGACAGAGAGAGAGAGAGAGAGCACAACCAAAAAAAACATAGGAGGGAGGCGGGCGGGGAGGAAGCAGAAAGGCCGCTGCAGTGCTCTGCTCAAGGCGAGAGCCCAGCAGCGGAGGGTCGGGACAACCTCTGGCGCGGCAAAGGGCGGGACCCCCGGCTCGCTCGGGCGAACGCTGACCCAGGCTCAGAATCTCCCGAGGCTGCGCATCCTGGGCACTGGAGAGGACGCCGAAGCCATCGAGCACGCGCAGAGCTCGCAGCGTCCCAGATCCCATCCACGGGGTTGGATATCCGTCGTTGGTATCTTTTCGATCGTCCCCGAGGTCCCAAGAGCGGCCCCGCGGCGCCGAGATGCAGTGCAAATCATCCGTCGCGTTCTCCTTCGCGACGCCTGGAGGTCTGGATTTGGCCCTCGTGTTGGTGGGTCCTGCCTTGGCCGGCGTCCCGCGTCTGTGTTCCACCCCGTGCTTCTCTGGGGAGGGGGGGTCGAACGGGGCCAGCACGAGGAGAAATCCGTTCCAGAGCGCTCCAGAACGCTCTCGGATCGTCCCGGAATGCCCTGAGAAGGCCGCTGCGCGCGAGACGTCGTCCAGTGCCGCTGGATCTACCAGATTCCCAATCTGTCCTCGCCCGATGTTGTCCTCGCCCTGGCTTCGTCTCAACGAGGGGTGCGGGGATCGGTGTTGAGCTGCCGCTGCCTCAGCTCGCCCTGCTCCGGGTGCACGGGACGGCCCTGACTCCGGATCCGCCCTACTCTGGGGAAATTCGTAAGTGGGGCTTGGAATTTCCGCCTTACTTTTCAAGCCCCGATGATGCCAATTTCCGCCCTACTTTTCTGTTGCTGTTTCTGTGGATTTCCGCCCTCCTTTTATGTTGGGTGCAGCAATTTCCGCCCTACTTTTTCGGCTCCTTATAGGTGGATTTCCGACGTCATTTTAAGTTGGAAAAAAAGCCAAAGTAGGGCGGATCCGGAGTCAGGGCTAACCACTGGCGATAGCCATCTTCGCCACTGTGCGAAGCCGCAGACGAGATGCCACTGCGCCTGCCCGGCGACTCCCGGGCCCGGCCCGTGGCTGGCGGCTCCCAGGCCAGGGCGGGCCAGAAGGGGACCCCATCGAGGGGCCCGGCCGACCCTCGCTGGCGCCGGCCCGCCCCCCCTGACTCCGGATCCGCCCTGGCCCACGCCCTCTCTCCCGACGGACGCCCTTTCGTTAGAGGGGGCCGCATGCGAACCCTACCCCTACCCCCCTACGATTTCTGAGGGGGAGGGTGGGGTTCACTTCGCTCGGGAGCTCCCGAGCGGACTGAACCCCACCCTCACCCTCAGAAATCGTGGGGGGTACCCTGGCTCTTTTTCCAACTTAAAATTGCGTCGGAAATCCACCTACAAGAGGCCGAAAAAGTAGGGCGGAAACTGCTGCACCCAACATAAAACAGAGCGGAGATCCACAGAAACAGCAACAGAAAAGTAGGGCGGAAATTGGCATCAGCGGGGCTTGAAAAGTAAGGCGGAAATTCCAAGCCCCACTTACGAATTTCCCCAGAGTAGGGCGGATCCGGAGTCAGGGAGGGGTGTAGTTGGGTGACGTCGTCATTGCGCTCGTCGGGGAGCGGGATGGTAAAATCGTGGGCCGAAGCAGTCTCCTCCTGAATGTCTACGATTTTTCCTGACTCGGTGCCATCCTGGTCCTGGCTTCGCCTTGGGGTTAAGTCGGGCCTGTCCCCCTACAGGGGGATCTTCTACGGAAAGTAGTAAACGTACTCCAAAATGTTCCAAAATGGTCCAAAGATGCTATAGAAATAGTCCCTGACTACTTTTTGCCTCTTTTGGAATCTTCCCCCTGTAGAGGGACAGGCCCGACTTCACTCTAGGGCCAGGCCCTTGCCTTCACCCCCCAGTCAGGCCACCCCCCATGACTCGGCGGTGGACAAACCTCCCTCTAGCAAACCTCCCCTTAGTGAAAACGGCCTGGGACCGAACCCGACGGACCTGGGCCCGCAAAACCGACGGCCGCGACGCCCTCTCGCGCACCGAAGACGGCCAATTCCTTCAGCGACGCGTCAGGGTGGGAGGTCTATCTTCGGCGGCGACGGTAAGGGCGAATCGCCCAGGGGCGGGCATGACACGCATTCGCCCCGAAGACATGGATCATCGGCGCCCCTGGATACACGTACCCAGAGATCCGATGTCGTGATTTTTTCAATACGGGGTCCCCGGAAGTCTCGACCCATTCCCCATGAC